GGCTGCCTATGCAGAGGGTGTAACCGTGGGTTAGGCAGCTCTTTTCAGCTGAGATCATCCTCAAAGAGGACTAACGGCTAAGGGGCTGTCTGCCAGCAGCAGTCCCAGGATCTGGGGCAATAAACCCTTTATTCCTTATGGGGAATCTTTGTGCATCACAGCACCTACAACACTGCCCTTTGACGCACTAATGGAGTTATTCTATTATTGGCTTCTTGTCACCAACTTGCTGAGAACCAATTTGTAGAAAACTGGAAGATAAAAGTGCCTAGGGTCCACAGAAGTCATAATGTATCCTTGAAACCTGGGTAAACCTACTTCTAGACTTTCCGTTATATGATATAATGAATATCTTTATTACTTCTTATTAATCAGAATTCCATCACTTATAATCAAAGCGTCCCTACCAAATGTAACCAAACCGATACAACCAAACCATTCAATGACAAAATAATTAATCAAAATGTCAACTGTTAATTTTTGATTGGGCGGTTAAGGAAGGCCTCTTTGCAGAGATGGTATTTGGGCTGAAACCTGAAAAAAAAAATGGGGTCAGCCAAGTGAGGAGGCAAGAAGAGCATTCCCGGCAGAAAGAGGAGCAATTACAAAAGCCCTGAGGCAGAAGCGAATCTGGCCGGTTCAAGGTTCAACAACATGGTTCTCTCGGTTTCCGGCCCCAGCCTTTGGAAAGGTCAAGCGAGATTGTGGGATTATGGAAACAGCAATGAAGGGTACAGTGTATATCCCAGGACAGAATGTGGCTTGCCGGGCTATGGCTTAAGATGTTTAAGATGCTCCAATGATGTTTTTGTTGTTGCTTGAGCGATAAAGTTCTTCTCATAATGCCTAGGGATTTTTTTCCCCACAAATGTATTAATACGATCAAGAACATTTCAATGTGAAATGAAAGGGAATAAGAAAAAATACCAAGTAAATGATTATGATTTAGGAAGAAGAACATTTTGTGTAAGAGGTTGTCTGTGATTGTAAAAAGAAAAAAATTACTAATAAATATGTTGAGAACGAGACTTGCCTGTGTATGAGTGTGTATAAATGCATGCAAGGAGGTAAACACAGCTCTGTAGCATCATCAGAAATGATAGGAGCATAACAATAGAAGTGGAGGTGTGTTAGTACTATATGTCAAGAAGTTGCTAGAAAGTCTTCAATAAAATGGCTAGAAAGTTGCTGGCAAATCTTCATAAAGATTTATCTCTGTTTTTTTATCTGCATAAAGATAAAAGAAAGAAAAAATTGCTGGGAAAAAAGTAAGATTTTTTTCTCCCAAGACACTAAGGGGAAAAAAAGATGATTCACGAGTAATGGAAAAGTTTCAGACATAATTTGTGACTGTACAGCATCAGCAATGCCAATTTGCAGATGTATTTGCTAAACTGCTGCCAGTAATCGCTGAGGGATTACAGAAAATTGGAAAGATTGTAGTGTCAGCCAGGGTCCATGGCAGGAGACAGGCAGAGATTTAAACAGGCTGAGATTCAATATGGTAAATGGGTGCCTGCAAAATCACTGGAAGGGCTGGAGGAGTGGGCTCTAGTCTGAGTCTTCTGGAATGACTCCCAGACACTAGAGAGCTGAATCACCAGGGAGCTCCCGCTGCTGAAAGTATCCTAAAACCACCAGGTTTCCAGAACATACAATCAAAGCTGTGATTAGGGAATCATAGCCCTGGAACTGTGCACTTGTTGCTTCTGCCATTGCCATACCATCGTGCTGCCAACTGGAGACTGGAGGCTGGAGTCCACTGCTGCCTCTGCTGGCACTCCTCTTCTCACCCAGGAATCTGGAGAATGACATGAATCATTGCTTCAGCAGAAAGCCTCATATGGCCATGAGACCTTGCTTTTCAAACAAGAAATGCCAGGAGATGACGACCATCCTCACTTCTGCCTTACAAATCTCTCAGAGGTACACCCACAGGACCTTATTGGAATCCAGAGTGCCAAGCTGCAAAAGCTCTGGGAGTTGTACACTTAACTCTGAAGTCCCTCTAATATAGGAAGGAATGACATAATGGAGTCAAATGGAAGTTCAGTGAGCCAAACCACAGTATTCTACATAACTGCAGACAGGCAAAAGTTCTTATTTTCCTTACAGGGAAGAAAGGGGTTATAAGAGACACCTTTGAACTTAACATTATTCCTTGTATTGGTTAGAAAAAATACCCTGTGAACCATTAAGATGGTATGCAATGATCACTGAGAATAGGGGATTCATTAAAAACAAATTGTATCAGATAGCTTATTAAAGTGGTAAGTCAGAGAACTGTATGGCTATAACATATCTAGATTTTTAACAAAGCTTTTGCCTTTTTTCACTATCTTTTATGATATCATGAGACAAACTTGAAAAATGTGGTCAAGATGGTGGTACAGTTGAAGGGATTTATAATTAGTAGAAAGACTAAAAGCTATTGATTAGTATGTAGATGTCCAATTGTTGCATATGCTGTGGGAATTCATACTTTATTCTGCCCTACATTATATAATGAATCTGGAAAGAACATTGAATTTAAAAATAGCAATAGCCACCATTTACTGAGTGCTCACTCTAGGTGAGGCACTATAGATACATTATTAACTCTTTTACTCCTTACGGCAATCTTGTCAGGTTGTTAGTATCTCCATTTTAAATATGAGGAAACAGATGATAGAAAATGTAAATAACTTGCCCATAGCTACCTATCTAGTAAGCAGCAGAGCTGAGATTCATACCTAAAATTGCTTTAAGGAGGAGGTACTAGAGGGAGGGAGAATGTCACAACATTTCTAGGAGAAACTGGCTAGTCATTTGCCTACCAAGAACCCCCAGAGGGTGACATTTTCTCAGTTATTCCACAGGAGGAAGGGGGATGTCGCACTATCTTCCATGATCTGGTCAGTATCTCAGGGACTCAAACTCACATAGACCAGCCTCACTAACATCTCACATATAAAATCATAGGCTGATTTATTAAATCATGAGAAATGTTACAGGCTAACCAAATATGAGCAATATTCCTACATACATGTTCTGAAAGAGAGCCTGATTAGTAAAATGTTGCCTGCAGAGGATAGATTCAGCCCAAGGAGACTCTGATCAGATTGCTAACTGGCTACAGTCTCTGACAATCACGATATGGATATACGCGTTTGTCTGGATACCTGCGTATTTGGACCTACTTGGGAGGTATTAGGCTATTAAGTATGAAATGTCCGATTTCCTTAAGTACTAAGTTAGACAACTGATATCTCTGATATTTTGCTTTGAACACTTCTTGTTTTATTTTTATTGTGAAGGTACAGCCTCATTCTTTCAAGAGCACAGTTTGGCTTGCGATTATCTTTCAAATTTTTTTTAGAGTAATTTTTGTGAAACCATGGATAAGTAAAAAATTCATGTTATTTTCAAATACGAGTTTTGTCGTGGAACCAATGCTGCACAGACAGCTCAAAATATCAACAAAGTGTTTGGGAAGGATGTGGCTAATGAACTCACAGTACATTGATGGTTTGAGAAGTTCTGTTCTGGTGATTTTAATCTTGAAAATGAGCCATGTGGGTGACCTGAGACCAATGTGGATAATGATGAGCTGAAAGCTGTAGTGGAAGCAAACCCATCTCAGCCTGTGCATAACTTAGCAGCAAGGTTTGATGTTACTATTCCAACAATATTGGACCATTTGAAACAAATGGGCAAGTTAAAGAAGCTGGACAGATGGGTACTGCATGAATTAAATAAGCACCAGAAGAGAGATCGTCTCAAAGTTTGCCTTTCTTTGCTGTCATGACATAAAGGTGAATCATTTCTACACTGTATTGTTATGTGTGATGAAAAATGGATGCTTTTTGACAATCACAAGCATTTTGCACAATGATTGGATAAAGATGAAGTACCAAAACACAGTCCAAAACTGAATATTCATCAAAAAAGCAAATGTGGTCTGTTTGGTGGTCCAGCACTGGTATTATCCACTACAGCTTCATGAAACCTGGTCAGTCAATTACAGCAGATGTCTCCTGCAACCAGTTGGATGATATGATGAGGATCCTTGTGATTAAGCAGCAGAGATTGATCAATAGAGACAGGCCAATCCTCTTGCAAGACAACACTCAACTACATGTTACACAAATAACGCTGCTCAAACTATAGAAGCTGGACTTGGAAACTCAAAATCACAGAGATGGGGAACAAAGATTTTGTGAGTGCATTGTTAGGTATAATGGCAAAAGACACCTCTCTGACTTTCTCATGTGACCTTCAGACCCATGTATTCTGAGTATAAGAGAATTAGTACCATATGTTTAGATTGCTTTTTCAAAGCATGGTAAATTATCATTCTCAAACAATTTGGAAGGCTTCGAATGTTAGAAGCACTTATTTTTGTCTTTGTATTTAAATGCAGTTATTTATGTTTCTGAAATTCCCTCTGATTGCGTTTTGTATTTTGAGCTTTGTTATTGTTAATGAGTGCACTTCGATCATCAACCACCTGCGCTTTCATAGCAATTAACGTCACATCTTAAAAACTGGTTCTTATGAATGGGAAAAGAATAAAAGTCGATTTAAAATAACCAAAGAACAATGGAATTTTGTAGCTAGAGAAAACCTAAATATCATATATTAATAGATTTGAAACTCAAGCCCAAAGAGAGTAAATGACTTGCCACAGTCACATGGCCAGTGGGAAACTTGAGCACTTTCCTTTCTTCTGTTTTCCTCCCACTCGCTGATGCAATTATGTGCCATATTTTTGGCAAGATCTCCTATTCTTCCTCTGCCTCCTTCTAGCCCTTTTCCTCTTTCTTCTTCTAGTAAGTGGAATTTTTTTTTGCAAGTCATTCATATCTTTACTTACAGTCTGATTGGCGTGTGACCTGAGGAGACAGAATATTAGTAGGATTCCAAAATAGTATTTTCTTTACCCATATCCTTAGGTAGGTAGGCAGCAGTTCTAAGGGATCCTTTGTTTCTAATTCTGGGTTGCTCTTGGATCTCTACAGTGCTGCGTATGATGCTGTCCTTGACAGAAATGTGGCCATTAAGAAGCTCAGCAGACCCTTTCAGAACCAAACACACGCCAAGAGAGCATACCGGGAGCTGGTCCTCATGAAGTGCGTGAACCATAAAAACGTGAGTTTTGTTATTTTTAAACCTTGGCAGTGGGAGGTTGTGTGATTGGAGAAAGAAAATATGTGTCCCAATTGAGTAGGAAAGGCTTTCTTTACTTTGCAATTTCTGCCTCTTAAGATTGTTTATCCTGCTTATATGCTAAATTTGATTTCATTGTCCTCATGGTAGCTTTCTGCTTAAAAATCATCTAAAAACCATATGATGTGGAAGAGATGAACTTTATAGATATTTCCCTGTTAGGAAACCAAATTAATCATAGAGCATGTTTTTTAAAAAAGAAACAAAACCAAAAACCAAACCAACCCCCCCCACAAAACAATATGCTATATTTCTTTATAATTTAAATTTAATTACTAACAGGTGAAGGTCTTTATTCATCATGTTATCTCCTTTTTGTTTTAGCTATAGTCTGGTGCTGGCCTCCCACTGTTCTGTGTACACATTGTGTATTGGCATCTCGTTGTGTATCGGGTTGGGCGAAGATGCCATTACATGTTCGCAAAGCACTTAGAACAGGATCATCAAGAGCTTTTCCTACTTGGAACTCAGCTGGGTAGACCATTATAGGACTTTCTCCACTTCAGAGTCTAAGCTCTTTCAATCACAGGCAAAGGCCTCTAGAATTCTTTTTTATTTTTTTCAAAATAAACTTAATTTATTTATTCAACACTTATAAACAATAAAAACTCCTTTACTATTAGAAATTCCCCAATTCTTCAAAATTAAAAGCTGCAATGGTTTTTAAGACTACTTGGAATCAATTTTTTCAGATTATATACTGTCTGTAAAACTCAGTATTAATGTATTCATATTTCTTTCATATCTAACCTAATAGGCATCCAAAAATTTTAACCATATCCTCCCTAGCAATCTTACCTTTCCTAGTCAGCCTTAATATTCAAGTTTCAATTTTTGGCCCAATCTATTAAAACTTTGTCAGCATTTTTCCTTTTCTCAACCAAACACATTTTTACTCTACTCATGCCTCTAAGTAACTAGGCAGCTACTTTCAAAAGCCCTGGCAAACCACCACCAGAGCCGTGGGATAAATGCCGATGATTCAGATAACTGCAGAAAATGGGATTTACCTTCCTGTGACTTTGTCAAAACCAGGGAAAGAAACATATATATCCTGTACTATTGATGTTATTTGTATGCTTGATTTGTATAGCACATAAATTTCTCTTTTCCACTAGTTTTCCATAAATATTAAAATACCAGGGAGTACTGATTTTTTTCTAAGTTTTGAAAATGATTATGAGATTTTTACTCTATTTAATAGAAAAATAAAACCAAGCTGCCAAATTTATGAGTTAGGCAATAAAAAAGTTTTTTTCAATAAAACATAGAAATATTTTAATTTACAAATTACAATGAATCAATATGAAGTAAAAATCCACAACTACACGTTCATAAAAATTCCACACATCGTCCTCAGACTAATCAGTTTCTGTACAAAGATTTACAGATGTCCAAGTATGTAGTTTTTCTTCAGCATGCTGCAGAGTTTAGAGGTTCTGCTCGAATATTCCCCAAAGGAAGCGCAGAATCTGTCTCCATCAATTTCTCCAATGAACTGCAACATTTTCACCACTTAAATGTACAATCCTAGTACCACTTGCTCTACTCCCTGTGAAGAGCTGAATACTCGTTCATGGCTTTCATCCAAAATCAAATTAATGGTCTGGTCAAAACCTTTCAGTGTTCCCACAATCATTTCCCCATCAGAAGTAATAACAGCAACAGTTAGGTTGATGTAGTTCTCCAGGGCGGACATCATGCTGTTCTGCCCAGCAATTCCTAGAATTCTTTCTATACCCCAGTTCTTCTTAGTAAGGATAAATGGAGAGAATTCATTATTTTAA